TTTTAGAAGGTGCCCTGCAGCCGCTTATCCCCAGCGGGTGGGCTGCGAAAAAAAAAAAAAAAAAAAAATTAAATGTTTACAGGACTAGAGGGCGATGACTCAAAATTGCTTTGCAAAGAGAAGAAGGTTGAATAACCTGCCTCTGGATAGGAGCTGGGACGCTGAGCAGCTTGTTAGCCCTGGGAGAGCAGCAATACCTGGCTTAGCCCACAAACGGCCCTGTGGGAGCTTTAGGTAACTCTGGGGTTAAATGGGAGCTGCCTGATGCTGGGACTAACTGGAGGCAACCTTCCCGTGGAGCTGGGTTTCTGCTGGGGAGGGGTGCAGCCCGCAGGCTCGTCAGGCTTACAAATGAGTCTTGGGTTGGTCCCATCCTGTCCTCGATTGCTGTGCTTGGGTGCTTTGAACGGCTGCGCTGTGCGCCACTGCCCGCGCGCTTGCGTGGGGGGAATGTCTGTTTTCCCATGTAAAACAAAGATATTTTAAACTGGGTTTCAAGTAGGAATGTTCCAAGGAGTCACCTTTTTCCTCTCAATAAGCCTTGTGTTTCCTGAGCAAGATAAAGCTGCCTGAAAATTCACCTAGAGCAAAGGACTCGTCTTATTTAACAAGAGCGAGCCCTATCCAACCTGAGATCAAACTGCTGGGGGGTGGAGGAAGGGTGCGTGCTCTCAGACCAGCAGTTGCTGGGAATGGCTCAGATAAAGCTCCGCTGTGTTTTAAAAATACTGTGATTTCAACCGGTTTACAATCTTGCTTGAAATTCTTGGAAAAACGATGTGGTATCTAGGTGGGGCGAGCCAGGAATTGCAGAATTTAAAACCCGGTTGCTTTTGTATGGAACCAGGAGGAGCGGCAAACAAGTCCTGCAGCTTCTGGACCGCCTGGAGGGCTTGCTTTCCTCTCTCACGCCAGCTCCCGAAAAAAACGGCTCTTCTCCTCAATCCTCATTTCGCATCCAGACGCTGTGCCTGCAGATGGCACCACAGCAAGGCCCCTCCGGACAGACGGAAAAAGCCACCTCGGTCGCCAGCCTGGCCAAGGACTTGCAACCCTGTCCTAAAAATCTTTTTTTTTTTTTTTTTGGTCAGTTTGAAAAATTGACGTATGTGAGGGTGGATGGCATTGGGATAAAGATGGGAGATCTGCTGTGGCAGCTGCTTCTCTCTCTAGGGAAGCGTTTTCCCCTACGTAGGGCACTCTAGGTTTGCTCTTAAAGCATTTCTAGGGAAAAAGGCTGGAAATGCTCGGCCAGGGAAGGCAGGTGCTCAGGCAGACCTGAAGAGGCTCTTGTTCAGCAAAGGAGCTAAAAGCCATCGTGCCACTCCGCGGGGACAAACCGGCTCCAAGAGCCGCTGCGGTAAGTCAGAATCCCTCCTGGTTTGGGAACGCCCCGCAAGGGGAAGGTATAGAAAGACACGGATCCCGGCTGAAGGCTCGACTCTGCCGCCTTCGAGTGGCCGGGGCCCCCGTGCTGGGCCGTCGGGGGAGAGGGACGCACCCGAGACACGGGCTCGCTCCTTCGCGGGGCCGTGCTGACAGAGCAAAGGGACGACGTCTCCGATGGGCAGCCAACCATTTCCAGGGGTGGTAAGCTGCACTTTTTGTTGTCTTTTTTTAAGACAGAGGAAATTCAAGTGATGCTGCAGTGTGGTAATTAGCAGTGGCGTTACAGGAAAATTCCCTTTTATGGCAGCTTTGAATGTTTAGAGACATTATTTTATACTTCATTGGCATTTGCGCACACCACCACGCGTGCGTTACCCCCCCAAGAAATGGCTGGTTGTCCTCAGACCACCTTCTTCTCGAGACGTCAGCGTGAAACTTCAGCGTTAAGGAAGATGCCATGTAGCGAAAATCATCTTGAGCAGATACGGAAACTAATTAAGGTTGCTTGAAAATAAATCACACCGAAATGGTGACTGCACAAGCACAGTAAAAAAAATCTTGGACATTTAAAACATACTCGGACCACTTCTGGAGTAAATGAGTCTTTGAGCAAAGCATTGGACAAGATCTGTGCAAGGAAGAGGAGATACAGATCTCTGATAGGAAAGGCTATGATGCAAAGCGTATATTGGACAGTCGTATAAGACAAACATCTGAACCGATAACGTTCCAAGCTCCTTTGTAACAGATGCTGTTCACAAAATGCAGGTTCAGGACTTAAACTCAGGGTATGCAAATACCCCTGCGGGCAGCGCTCGTGGAGAGCGGGCATTTCATCCAAAACGAGCTGCCCGCCTTTGGGCGCTTGTACTGTGCGCACGCTGCAAAACCAAATCATTTTACTTAAATCTTCTGAGCTGAATGGGATTTCTGACTACAGGACAGCTAACTTACCTCCGTGTATTATCTTACTATAGAGGTGGTGTCTTCTTGAGGGAGTTATTCTCAATTAAACGTTCCTGGAAGGAACAGTAGTGCTGAGGTATACTTACTGCGTAAGATTTGAAAAGGCAGCGGTCAAAAAGCCGAAGCTGTAGTCAAATGAAAAAACAGAAGAAAAACTCACAAATACTAGCGAATTAAAGAACCTGAAAAGAAGGCAGATTTTTAGGAAACTAAGTGACAGAACAGGTAGTACAAAAACCTTTTTCAGATGCATCTTGGAGACAAGCAAGCTGCCAAAAAGCTGTAAGATGGTGCGGGAGCGATTAGGGAAGCTGAGGCCGTGGTGGAAAAGTAAACCTGATGTTTTGCCGTCAGAGGAGCTTTGGGGTATTCCCAGCCAAGAGATGTTCCTCAGCAGCAATGAGACGAAGCCGCCGTTGCAAATGAAAGCGTCGGGACTGGAGAACATGTCCGTGACGCGAGGGTGGTCTCCAGCATGAAACGGACGGACGGACAGGTAACCGTGCCGTCCGTAATCACCACTCACATCAGCCTGCACGTGATGAAAAGCAACGGGATTTAGGAAAAACCAGACAGGCAAAGATGTTCAAAGAACCTGAACTGCTCCGGGACAGGGAAGACCACACTCTCCAGGCTGAAAACTGGTGGTGACTGGGAAAGAAGGTGCGAGCGGCCGGCGGCTGGGGACATCTGCCCCATTCGTTTCCATTCAACACCTTCAGAACAGTTTGGAGCATGGGGTGCCAAGGATGATGCAAAACGATGCAGGCCACTCCACATTGAATCAGCCTGCGGAAGGGTGCAGAAGGCTCTTGCGATAAGCGACGGGGTTATTAAACCGGTGGGTGAAATTCAAGGTTGCTGAATGGGAAGTAACGCGTGGGGGGGGGGACGGGACAGCTCTGACATTGCAGGTCTCAAAGCCCTCCTGTAACATTACCCAACTCTCCACCAACCACGCGAGCAACCTTTGTTGGCCTTGCTCTGAATCCTGGGACAGAACAAAAAAAAAAATAATGGTGGGTTGTAGTCTCTGTAATCTCCAGCTTTTTAGTTACCGAGCTGGGGCTGGAGCCCAAGCAGACGCTGAAATCCCACTGAACGCACGTGGCCTCCAGTTTCCCCAGCTCCTCGTATGCCTTTCTCAGCCTGACCAAACTGCCATCTAGCCCATCCCCATCAAGTGACTTTAGGCACTGTGCAAAAATGCTCACTTGCCCTTTATTTTTTTTTTTTTTTAAAGGAGCAAAATAACTAAACTTTTCACTCTCAAACCACTGATCTCCAGCCTGGAATCACGATGAAGCGTCTTCGCTCCATCATCTACCCCAACTTGTGCTGCAAAGCAGGACAAAGCGCACCGATGTCACAGGGGGATAAGAGACGGGCAAAGAGGCCACCAGCTTCAGCGGCTGGCTCGGCGCTCAGGCGAGGCTGCGGGAGCCCTGCTCCCGACA